TGGCTGTTGCGCCCTCTAGCATTGCGTGTACGATCTAGGTACCCCACCAACTCTTCCCCCAACTACCACCCGTCCGTTGTCCTGCGATTTTCTGGTTTTGTTGACATAGAAGGGAATTCCTGCGAGTCAACGGAGAGCTGTAGGGAACAACACGAAGAGGAGACAAGATAGAGAGGAGGGGAGGAGAGAGAGGGAGAGGAGAGGGAGGGAGAGGAGAGGAGAGGAGAGGGAGAGGAGAGGAGAGGAGAGGGAGAGGAGAGGAGAGGAGATGGGCAGAGGAGTAGAGGTTAGGAGGAGACGAGCTGGTGAGGAGGTTGAGTCACAAGGCATTGCAGGGCAAAAGGGACTCATGCTCATGGTATATTGACGTGTGTTCGGATACAGGAGGAGGATGAAGAAGAGCAGCCCATGCTGGTCGGCAGCTCGATCCCTTCTTTTGGACATCTCGCACGGGAGGAATGCACTTTACATCTCCCGAGCCGGGCAGGCAGGTTGCGAGCGGGTACATAGCTGTTGGATCAAAAGGAGGGAGCGACCTCTTGCCATGGGCGGGACGATGAAGCGATGGGCGAGTACGAGTGAAGACAAGAACATGTCGATGGAGGCCAAACTCCGTCAGGTGTACCTGAAAGTTCACCCTGACCTGTTCGCTAGCTTTCCGGAAGCTCGGAAGGAGAACGAGAAGAGTTTTCAAGCGCTATCAGAGTTCCTTGAGATCATGAAGGGAGGGTCCGCCGTCAGAACCAAAGTGTACATGATCAAGTTCTACGTCAAACCAGGTCATTGTACTTCTTTTGAGGATTTGTGGTGATGATGGCTGGCGGTGATGGTGACGACGATAACGATGACGATGATAATGACGATGACGATGATGATAATGATGATGATGGTGGTGGTGGTGGTGGTGGTGGTGATGATGATGATGATGATGATGATGATGATGGTAGTGGTGGTGGTGATGATGATGATAATGATGATTATGGTGGTGGTAGTGGTGGTGGTGGTGATGATGATGATGACAACGATGATGATGGTGGTGGTGGTGGTGGTGGTGGTGGTGGTGATGATGATGATGATGGTTACGTTCATTGCCTGACGTACTGGCAGATGTTGAGCATGAGATCCAAGAGAGCGATCTCCGAGTCATCTCAGCGCGTCTCATGGCGACAGGAGGCCCCGGCGATGTCAAGGAGCTCAACAAACTCCTCCAGCTCTTCGGGTTGGGTCGAGCCAGCAGTTCATCCAAGGTTGTTCATGATGGTGAGGGGAGGAGGCTGAAAGCACCGGGCAGATGGAGAAGAACGTGTTTCTTGTCTCCGACCTCGAGGATTTCATCCGATCCTACAGCGACGAAGCGAAGAAAGTCATTCAGGCCAAGCAAGAAACTTGGAGCAACGTCTGCCCCTCCCCTCCCCTCAACTTCAAGCCCCCTGCCCCCTGATCCCTGCCCTGCCCTCCCTTCAACTCCCCTCCCTTCCCTTCAACTCCCCTCCCTTCCCTTCCACTCCCCTCCTACTTACTAACGTCCACCTCACCATTCCTCACTTGACTCATGTCACTTGTTGGTATTGCCTGTGGCCTTCCTCTGTCCTCTTTCCACCCCTCCCGCTCCCTCCTTGTAGCTCACTTTTGCCTTAGGTGTATGCTTTACAGCATTTCCTGCATCTCAACCACCAGGTCAGACTCAGCTTTCCTTCCGGAGCAGATGTTGTCACACATACACGAGTGCTGGAACAAATCTCGGAGGAGAAGGTAATGAGAAAGGAGGAGGAGGAGGAGGAGGAGGAGGAAAGTGAGGTGAGGAGGGACTGAGAAGTTTGTTGTGCAGATTTTGCAAACCATCACCTCATTCGAGGAGAAGTACAGAAGGTTGATCATCGGCAATGAGAGCTGCGTACATGTAGACAGCAGTGACTGCCTCTCCTCCTCTCAAAGCTTCTTGCAGGTGGACGGTAGGATTTCTCTGTGCTGTGAGGGAACTCCCGAGGAATGGCTCGCACACCTCACGAGGATCGACTGGCCCCAAGTGGCAAGGGGGGAGAAGCTCGTGATTGAGACGAGGAGCAAGGAGAAGAAAGTCGCCGAGTAAGAAAACGGCCCCTTCCCTCCTCCCCTCCCCTCTCTCCTTAGATCCTCCTCGCTCCTCGCTCCCTTCCCTGCTCACGTCCTCCTTTTCCTTCGCTCCTCTTCTACCACTTGTCAATTCCTCTTCTACATTCCCACGTCTTTGATTTCCTTTTCCTCTCCTCCTCTCCTCCTCTCCTCCTCCTTCTCATTTCCTCTTCCGTCCCCGCAGGTCCCTGGGCCTCAGATTCTTGCACGCTTCACCCGACCTCGAGTACTCCCACACCTACCTGAGGCTGTTGGAGGATATGCTGAGTGAAGCAAGCGCCGGGAGGAGCGGGAGGAGGAGAAGATTCAACCAGGCCCCGACTGTGGCTCTCCTTATCACCGAGAGCATCCCGAACTTCACCGACGTCGAGCAGGTGGAGGGAGGGTGCGGCATCATGAAGAGCAAGGGAGCGCTGTACGCGACCATTCACAACGGACCAGGTGTGTATCCTTTTCACCTACACGTACTCATTTACCTCCTAGGTGACATCGTTCGATTCGTCGCCGAGCATGCGTCTACAGCTGAGCGATACAAGAAGCGGTTGGAGGAGCAGCGCCTTGAACTGCAGGAAATGCTGCAGCAGGTCTCCCCTCCTTTTCCCCCCTCCCCTTCTGATCCTCTCCTGCAGGCACGCATGGCCCTTGGGCTGCAAACATTGGAGGCGGATCGATCGCAGGTCAGCGTGGAGGAGGCGATCCTATGCTGCTCGAAGCTGCTGGACCTCTCCTGCTCTCCCTCTTCCAGCACCCTCGCAGGCGTGACGCAGGGGATTCAGCTCAAGATCGGGAGGACGTACGCGATTGGAGCGGATGGGATCCTGACCCTCCCATTCGACCTCAAAGGAGACGAAGCAAACACCTCCTCCTCCTGAAACCAACAGAAGCCCCTTCCTCTCTTTCCTTCCTTCGCTTGCTCTAGCTCAAAGCTCTTTCCCAAACTTGCTCGCCTCCTCAGCGGCCTGACACGCTCTCTCAACACCGTCTCACCTCCTCCTCCTCTCACCTTCCTCGCCGCCTCCAGCCCGAGATCAAGGGTCTTTCTATGGAAAGAGTGCGAGTCTCGGAAGGGCGTGAAGGACAGCATCTTGTCTTCCTTGAACTTGCACACGATGGTGGGAAGCAGGACCCCTGCTCCCAAGACAGCCCCAACCACAGTGCTTCCCTCCCTCCTCCCCTTCCTCCAAATGCCTGCTGCTGCGTTAGAGCATCCACCTCCACAACACCTTCCCACTTCACCCTCCTCCTCCTCCTCCTCCTCCTCCTCCTCCTCCTCCTCCTCCTCCTCCTCCTCCTCCTCCTCCTCCTCCTCCTCCTCTTCTTCTCCTTCTCCTCCTCCTCCTCCTCCTGCACCCTCATCCGATCTCGTTGCTTCACCTCCCTCCTCTGAGCCCCACTCCTATATTCATCCTCGCGCGAACTTCATTGAGGCAGTGGCCACTGTTGTATTTTCCTTGCCCTCCCCTCCTCCCTCCCCTCCTCAATTCTCCTCTCCTCCCTCTAAACTTCTCCTCCCCTCCTCCCCTCCTCTCCTCCCCTTTAACCTTCTCCTCCTCTCCTTTAGCCTCCCCACCACTTTTGTCCCTCGTTGAGGCTCATCGTTTGCATTGAGTTTAATTTTACAAACAGCACAACAAGCGGGAGCTCAAATGGCGCCAACATGAGAAAAG